ACACGCACGCCTCCCCGAGGGGGGGCAAAAAGAATTAAGGCCAGGACAGTTGTGTAAATGTGCGCGCGACAAAGACAAAAGGATGAAGACGTGAGAAGGAAGACAAGACGGGACAAAAAGGTGTGTGGTTGCAATGAAAGAGAAACCAAGTGCGCAGGGACAACCGATGAACCCCACCTCATTGTAAAGACCTGGGCGACCTAAAACCTGTGTTGAAGATGTATGTAGAAGTGCACGTACACACTAAGGCCGGGACCAATGTGCGCGCAAACGAAGAAAGGGATGAGATGACCAGACATGAAGACAGGAGGACATGAAAGAAAAGAGGAAACCACGGTGTGTAAAAGGGGAAAAGGATGAAAAGGGGAACCAAATGGAGGGGACGAGAACCGATGAAGCCGAGCCTCATTAGAAACACCTAGGAAGACCTCGCCTCGTTTGTATGTAAACGCTGTGTGTGCACCTAAGAATGATACAGGTTCCAATGAACCTTGAACAAGCTTTGGTCGCTGCGACCACGTACGGCTTGCCCGGGGGCTGCCACCTTTGACCGCTGCGGTCACGTAAGGGCGTGCGCCAACTTGGAATTCCAAACGTAGGACCGTAGGACAGAAGTCGTAGTTCTCTCGGCCTAGGCCACCTACGCTTGCTGCGAGCTGCTCTGGTCCCGGGCGCAGGGACGAGGACTAACGCCCGTTCGACAGGTCCACAGGGGGCACTCTTCGGGCTCACCCTGGGCTCTCACGAGGAGAGACACACTTATAGAAATGCGTACGGATGTGAATGCGGTGCCACACGCCAGCCAAGGTGAAAAAACACCTAAGGAAACAGGGCAAGTAAAGTTAAATTAGAGGCCATCGCTAGAAGTTGGAGGCCATCGCCCAAGTTTGGAGGCCATCGCTAGTAGGTTAGACGCACAAGCTGACAGCAACAAGGTTAGAGGTCATCGCAAATGGGTTGGAGGCCATAGTAATTACCAAGTTTACAGCAAGCATGTTTACAGCAAGCACCTGTGCCCACCCCAACTCTGCAGACTGAATAGGAATGCACCCAGTCGAACAAAGCGGACACGCCGGCCCTAAGGGCAACCGGCGTATAAACATGACTATATAGAAGGACGCCAAAAATAGGAAGAGGCCCTAGCAACAAGGTTGGAGGCCTGCGCTATAGGTTAGGAGGCCCACAAGACACAAAGCAGCAAAAACAAAAAGAAACCAAACAAACCAAAACAACACCAAAAAAAAGTTGGATTGTGACTCCAAGGGCTGCACCGCAACATCGTGAAACACTTCAAGATTTGTGCGTGTCATTCCTTTACACTGCAACATCGTGGTACACTTCAAGATTTGTGCGTGTCATTCCTTCAGCAAAATTCACTAGAATCCCTCTGACTCCAAGGGGTACACACTTATAGAAATGCGTACGGATGTGAATGCGGTAATCCGTTCACAATTCAAAAGAATCCCTGTGACTACAAGGGGCACACACACATGAACCTAGAACAGGACGGAGTGATGTTGAAGATGCACGCATGATCGTGTATGGTAGTGACGTTTTGAGGAGGAACACTGTGGAGTGACGACTGTTTCTGACTGCAGTTGCGTATATGATTATATACCGTAATTGCTATGCCGCAGTTTTACTTGAAATAGCCATGAGAGCAGCCCGTAGCCTCAAAACTCTGATTCCTGCGCTTTGGCGGCATAACGAGCAAGGCGAAAGAGCAGTAACTAGTCGAACTAGCCGAGACATGACTTGAGTCGAAGAGGACAAATGAAACCTGACTGTGATGTGAAGTTTGAGTCGTTTGAGTCAGCCTAAGGTCGCGGATCGAGAAGACGGCCCTGCCTTCTTAGAAGGTCAGCTTGTGAAGATCCGCCAGACCAGCGAAGAGGAACTACTGTGCAAGACCAGAAAGGTACTGTTGCCTCAAGCTTCCAATAAGAGAGAGCCAGAGATATATATATATATATGTAATATATATTATATAATATACAAAGATAGACTTAGAGAGAAGATGTTTTATCAACATTCTCCAGTGGAGTTGTTCTTCGCTGCGCTTTGCAGAGGAGGCGAAGCGTGTCTTCGACGCCTCTGGCATTCACTGGAACTCGGCGAAAGCCCAACTGTTGGGATCAGTTGGAGAGCTCCGTAGCGCTGCGGAAAACTATTACGCCGCCTCTTGGCTCAGCTTTGGACCTGACTTATACAACTTCTCAGCTTTGGAGTTTTTCTTTCTTTAGACCTTTAGTAGTATCCCTTAGTGACGTATTTGTCGTCTTTATGTATGATTCTTTTTGGATCGCATGGTTGCATTCAGAGCCTTGGAACCAAAAATTTGAGGTATATACGCCGGATAGGTCCGACTGGTGGCGATGGCCACTGTCAATGCTGGAAGAGGCTTGTCGGCTTGTCGCCGCTTGTTAAGCACGCCGTCAGAGCATCGTACTTCTCTTGCAGGCATCAAATCTGAGCTGTGTCTCCTCCACTCACATGTTGGGCCCCTTCACTCTTGTGTCCTTTTCTGGTGAGGCAGACAGTAAAGACATCAGCGCATTTGATCGAGCTTCTCGACATGGACTGGATTTGTGCGATGATTGTTGATTTTTGAAGCTGCAAGTTCCAAGGTTCCGGAAAAACATTGTTCAATCGTTCAATCTCAATGGATGATTATATGAATAAAGCAGAATAGAACATCCCAGGCAGACTGCATCTTGACAATTGCTAGTTTGCTTGTCAGCGTCAGTTTTTCTTGGAGGTTTGACCCTTTGACAAAGTTCCCTCCCTCCCCCAATGAACTGCTTCTAGCTGGGACATGGGACCTGAGGGTGACACTTCCACCCACCAACGGCGGTTTGTTCAATCATCCTTTGCCCAGGTCAATTTTCAGATAGGAGATCTTGTCAAAATACGCAAACTAGATCAGAACGAGGCTGGCTCAAAAAGCTTTCTTTCATCCACTCTTGATGTCATAAGCTTGAGCTAGGACAAGGGTAGCGACACTTGTCCTAAGGGTGGGTGCTTCCAGGTCCAGATGTGGCTGACATGTTGTTGGCAGGCGAAGCGGCTCTGCTCTGTTCATGACACTCTGCCCTGGGAGCCCAACTGGACGGATGAGGCGCGGGAAGCATCCGAGGAGGAAGAACTTGGCATTTCTCAAATCGAACGCAGAAAAGTATGTAAACACTTTGCAACAACGTGCACTGAGTTGCAGCGTTTTATGGTGTGTCTAGGTGGAGGGCGTCACGTGGAAGTCAAGCATGGCCCAACTTCTGGGCTTGGTGGGCAAGGCTGGTCACTTTATCAAACATTTGTCCATGCGGTCAGGCGCAGATTAGCAGGCCCCATTGGGGAGTAATTTGAAGTCATTGAACTTAGAGTTACTTTTTGTGGTGTGTGAGAACCAGTGTTCCCTATCTAATTATCCGTTTAATGTGTACATAATTGCAAACCTACTTTCTCACGACTTCATTTGTAATTCCTTTCACAAAGCTTCGGCGAGGATTCCTAAATGTCATGCTGAAACTATACTACTTCAGGGTTGCTTCGATGGACCGACGACGTCCACTGCTACTGCTGCTGTTGTGCTTCTTGAAGCCATTGTGTCATTGCAAGAGCTACAGCTACAGTGTTTATACTCCGACGTAAACAAACTGTATGTGGTCTTATCAACGGTTGGTTGGTCTGGGATAAGAAAGACAATCGGTGGTTCCACCAATCATTCTCCTTTTTGATCCTAATCCAGATCCAGCTCAGTTGTCGTGTATCGATCGATACAGCTTGCAAGACCAAAGTGGCAATGATCATTGCCATTTTGGCTCAAGATCCTGAGCTCCATTTGTGATCACTCCGGTGCCCGCTCGGCTTGGGAAAACTCCCTTGCTCACACCATGGCAAGGTGGTCGCAGTGGACGCAGGGCGGACCTGGTGGATGGGGCTCCAACCAGGGAGGCGGCTATGGCTCAGGGGGTGCTAACGCTGCTCATGACCCCTTCGAAGTGAAGTTGCCCAAGTTCTTCGGATGGCTCGAGTACAATGAAGAAGACAGTCGTGAGAGCTCGTTCATCATAATCGATGAGAGGGGCTCGCGAATGGCGTCGCCGTTCCAGAGCTGGTTGACAAAAGAGACCATGAGCAACTCGGCCAGCTCGATCAGGTCATGCCGCCAAGCTCTGGCTTCCGTGTTGATGAGCAGCTACTTGATGTTCCATACAATCTCCTCTGAGGTCTGGGAAAAGGAAGTGGTAATCGTGCCAGATCTGGATTGATGATGAAGATGATATGAAATTATGATCCGCGTGACCGCTGCGGGGTCCCACGGTCAGATCCTGAATGATGGTCTCATTGATTTTACCTAGATCATTGTCTTTTTGTTTGTCTCAGCTGATTCGAAGATTTGTTCAACGATCTGAACAGTGTATAGATCATACCTTCCATTGGCCCACGTTGCATGGAAGAAAAACATGCCTGCGTTCGCAGCTCTTTCGCGCAGTGGGGGATAATGCGCGAGAGCTCTGTTCAGAGCTTGGGGGTGGAAGTTGATTGGGTTTTCATCAGTATATGATATGTGTATATATTTGTATATCCTCACGGGCTTATTTAAGACTGTGACACGTTTGTGAAAAACACCACGTTCTTTTAAACGTTTTCACGTTTTTTTTGGGAAGGCAAATAGCGTTTCTTTAGACCAGGACCTCAGGTGTGCAAGCGAACATGTATGCGCAACACAGCGCGAGTACTAGTATTGCGTAGCAACGTAGAAGGGTTTCTTCTGCATGAGCGTGCAATTTGAACCGGACCGAACGCCAACATCCCACCCCACCCCCACCCCACACTCAGTCGTTCGCATTGTGTAGCAACGTAGAAGGGCTTCTTCTGTATGAGCGCGCAACCGAACGTTAACATCCCACCCCACCCCCACCCCACACTCAGTCGTTCGCATTGTGTAGCAACGTAGAAGGGTTTCTTCTGTATGAGCGTGCAACTTGAACCGAACGTTAAAACCCTCGCGCAGTTCTGAAGTCGTAATTACAGTGTGTTTTACATCGACTGATGAAAACATGCGCGGTAAATACGCGTAAATACGCGCTAAGCTAAATTCCGCGAACGGGCGCTAAAACAAACGCGCGAATAGCGTATGAATGTACATGCGAGGTAAAAAAACGCGCACAGTCTTAAGGAAACCCGTCATGTGTGTGTGTCTGTGTTTTATGGTGTCAACGGTGTTACAGGCCCCTGCGGTCTTTGGTGTTTCTAGACCTTCTACTGATGTAACGTTGCCATATGTGAACACACGACGTTCATGCCGCTTTGTTTACCCCTGGGGGTGGGGGGCGTTGACGTTCGGTTGGATCATCAGCGTTAAGGGTTGGTCTTCTTTTCACGGTTTGCATTTTCATCCGTGTTTCACGCTCTTCATCTTCGTTTCACGATTTGCATCGTTGTCTTTGTTTCATTAACGTTGCTTCATGAACTTCATCTTCCTATCATGAACTTTATGCATCTTAACCTTCGCTTCATGAACATCTTCATCTTCGTTGCATCAACCATAAAGATGGTGGTTCCGAAGAAATGCTTGAAAGCAGTGGGAAACCTGGGACAAAGGAATCCAGAGAATGAAGACGACAGAACTCCAGGATCCAGGATACGCATCAGAAGAGACAGTTCCAGCCATCCATGGCGACGATGGCAGTGATGGTGAAGTCGAAGATCCATGTTCCTTTGGTGATGAATGGACATCGAGGATGACTTTGTTGAAGGAAGCTCGAGGAGACCGATGGGAGCAAGTTGAACCCTTGGAGAACTACAGGACAGCCCCAACACCTTTCCAGGCACTGCCTGGTGGGCAAAGAAAGGCTTTCACATTCGTTGCGACAAGCCTGCCTCATGGCCAGAAGACGAAGAAGCTGATCGTGAAGTGCCAGCAGGAAGTGGCCAAGGTGCAGATGTCAGAGGAGAAGTTACTTTTGCTGATCCTAAAGAGATCGAGGTGCAGATCGACGAAGAGGTGATCACCATGGCCAACGCGCTGAAGCAGACGCAGGCGAAATGTGAGATGTTGGGTTTGGTTACTTCTGGATCCAAAAGAAAGAAAGTGTTCGGCAGAGTGCAGGGCATTTGTACGCAGAGAGCCGAAGGGGACGAAGACTGGTGTCAACAGTGCGTGATGAACAGAGCGCGCGAGGATGCAAGATAGGAAAGATCGCGGCGAGTGTGTCGTCTCGTTCGACTACGGGCGCGCCTTCACAGAGAACATCGCTGAGGAAGGACAGATGGGCACTGCGCTCTATGCGGCAGACTCAGAAACAAAAACAGTTCTTTGCGCGCCTGTAGTTGCCAAAGGAAGCGCGTCACTAAGCGAAGTTATTGAAGAGCTACTCCGGTTTTCTATGACGGTGGTAAATGCCAATTCAGTGGTGTTCCAAGCTGAAGGTTGCCAGAGCAGCGCTTGGAATGAGTACGGAGATCCGTACAACACAGCTCGCAGAGAAGAGTGTCCAAAGTCTTCGAAAGCTGGCAAACACAGTTTCGCTGAAGAGAAGGCCAACATCAAGATCACTGGACAGCATCATATCTACCCATGGAGCTTCAGACATGCTGCTTGGCTCATCACCTGGCTCAGGGTGATCAATGATGGTTCCACCAGTTTTGAGGTGATGCGCGATCGGCAGTACAATGGCAAGATCGTCCTCTTTGGCGAAACCGTGTTGTTCAAGGACACAATGAGAGCAAAGTGGAAAGGAGAGCCTACTATATAGAACAGGCAATTGGGTAGGAAAGTTCAGCTGGTCAGATAGTGACATCCTTGTGACCAGGTCAGGCGCAGAGAAAGGCAGAAGCTGAAGAATAAGCCAGAGGAGATGAAGAAGCGTCGGGAGAAGAAGCAACGAGAGCGTGAGCAAGTGGCTGTGGGGTTGTGGTGTTGGAACCCGGACACCAGCGCCCTCAACACCAGGCGTTCTGGCTCCTGTTACCCCAGGCATTCCAGCGCCAAGGACACCAGACATTCCAGCGCTAAGAACACCAGGAATTCTGGCGCCGAAGACTCAGCGCCCAAGACACTGCGGATTGAGATTCAAGGCCGTCGAGGAGAAAGAAGAGAAGCAGAAAGTGCTGAAGGTGAAGGAAGTCCAGCAAGCATAAGAAAGACTGACCCATCCACACGGAAGTGGCAAGGAGGGGAGCATGAAGGATTGAATACAAGTGCCTCAGGGGCGAAGAGACCACACACCGGACTTCAAGCGTCTACGGTCGATTGAAGTGACAGTTTGCTTGCAGAAGAGAGTTTGCAATTAGCTTTGAACGATGAAAGTGAGATCCAAAAGACAGACCGCCAGAAGTGACAGAAGTGGAACTAGAGAAGTTAGATGATGAAGCCACGAGGCATGAAGAGAAGAGATTGCTTGACATGGGCGTGCTTGAAGCGCTCAAGGAAGATGAAGAAGAAGAACCAGGTTCATGCAAGCTGGCAACGAAGATGGTAGTAACCTGGAAGAACAGAGAAGCGAAAGGAGGATGGTTCCGAAGAGCCAGGCTGGTCGCCAGACAATACTAGTGGAGCGTTTTCACGGATGATGCCTTTGCACCGACGCCAGCATCAGTCATTGTGAGGCTGTTGCTGCAACAGATGATCAGAAGGTCCGAGCCTCTACGCGGTCGACATCAAAGATGCCTTTCTGTTGCTGGACCAGCCAGAGGAAGAGGAGGCCATAGTGGTCACGCCTCATGGACGATACCGTCTGAAGAAAAATCTCCCAGGACGACGAAACGCAGCAGCTCAATGGTTTGGTGGGTTTCGCAAAGCCGCGAAAGAACATGGTTTGATCATGAACCAGATGCGACCCACACTCATGAAAAAAGAGAATAACCAGAAGGGAGAGAGGCTGATGAGGACCATTCACATGGATGACATCAGGCTGGTTGGTGATCCTTCTGAAGTCGACAGCTTCCCATAGAGGACAAGAAGAAGTGAAAATTGGAGAGGAAAGGACCGGCGCAACAAGGGGCATTCCAATACCTCAATAGGCACATGGAGGCAACCAATCAAGGCACCACAGTCCGCCCGGACACCGAACACATCCAAGGGCTTGCAAAGTTGACTCAGGTTGAAAGACAGAACACAAGTTCACAAAGCTCTCGAGGGAAGATGAAGCAATGGACGACGCAGAAGTTACAAGATATCGAAGTGCGGTTGAGAAGTTGCTTTACATTGCTCCATATCGTCCAGATGTGCAGTGTGCAGTTTGTCGCCCAATGACTTGCATCCCTCACGCAAAGACCAACACAAGCA